CCGAAAGATAGTGCAGCAGGCATTTGGAGCTCTGGTACTCCAGCAAGATGCTCTTGCCACTACAGACATGCGGTCTAAATCTACACGGCTCAAAGCCCACAGCAAGAAGGTTCAGCCCTTGTCTCTTCACTAGCCATCTGTAACGAGGGCTCTCCTCAGAAGTGCATAGGTCCCAGCAGCACATCACACTAACTACATATTCCAGGAAGAGAAAAGGATTTGCAGTTCAAAGAGTGGCCAACAGCTCCCTTGCTGAGGCATCACAGTGCATATATGATGGCCCTGTTGTTCTGAAAGCAGAGCAAGAGATGTTCATTGCCAAAAAAACAGATTAACTGATGCAGCCTACAAGGTAGGGGCCTGAAGAAGGGGAAGTTCAAATGACCTTGGAGTACTAGACACATAAAGAGAGCAGCGCACTCAAGTGGCACTCCACAAATCTTCATTAATTTAGAAAGACAACATTCACCAGCATCCATCTTCAGCTACTTCAGAGACAAAGATTGGTACCATCTTGAGGCATGAGTATCAAAAGAAACACCAGAGAACCCAACAGCCACAGGGTAAAGGGATGGAACATATATACAACATCCACATAGTGTGCTAGGAGGATCATCCATGTCCTGCTTAGTCCTACCAATAAGCAACAACTTTTGACTTACTGCATGCCTCTTGCTACTCTGTGGTGGGGAAAGGTCAGCACATCGCTTCAGCACTGCCTCCAGCAGCTTCTTCAGCTCTTCATATGGGACTGGAGGGGAGTTCAGATGGTCCTTCCTGAACAAGCAGAGAGAAAGACAGCATGCACATTCCCTGCTGCGGACATTCCACCTGGGAAGGCAACACCAGCAGAAATAACTGCTCTTCTGAAGCAACATGCCACTGCCACTTCTCTCTAGCACAGCGTACTAAGGTCACAATATCTGAACAATGCCTTCATCCAGATGTAAGCCCAAAGACACCCTCACTGCATTCACTGTCTGCTCCCACTAGTTAGGAAGCATGTGGCTGTAGAGTCTTATGCTTGCTCTTATCTATCTGGATGGGGCACAGAGTGACAAAGCCACAGTAGCCGCAGTACAAGCCTGCCTGGGATGCTAGGTCCTTGCTGCAGCGACTTGCTGCCTACCACAGCTTCACTGCCCTGGCAGCCTTCTGAGGCAGGTGGGAAGCTAGCTCTGCTGTACCCATGCCTGTCTCAGCCAGAAGTCCCACTGCAGAGCACGCTCACCCACACAGCCACAGGGAAGCCGCAGAGACCAATATGGTTTCAACAGATCTCTCTGAAGAAAAGCCTGCAAATACTTTCCTGCCTACCTCAGGAAAGCTGCCACAGCTCTCACAGCCTCCACTACTACCTCCAGCACTGGGCAGTTCACTGTCTCCATCAAAACATCAATGGCTTTTATACATACACCTCGGTTTGTGAATAATTTGATTTCCACTGGTTGCCTGCAAAGAGGAAACAAAGTAAACAAGGAGAATATTGTCAGAGTTAAGTAACTGTAGTACCCTCTCCTCGCTTCACCAAATGGACAGCTGAGCCGTGTGGTTCCAGCCATGCTTTTCAGTATTGAGAGCCAGCTGCTCTCAAGGATGTAGTCTCAAACTTCAGCAGGTGCAGGGTTTGCTACAAAGAGTGAGCTTCAGCAGGTCTGGAGCCCTACTATGAGGAAAAAAACCCCCACAGCCTGGATAACTGTGTGATTGCACCAGCAAACACTGACATGAAAAGCACAAGAAAAACAGGCTTTGAAAAAACACAGTGATCTCTCTGCCTAGGACTCTACACTAAGGCCATCTGCTCTGGCATTTGCGGGTTCATCTGGCAATTCATATTTCTGAGTAAACAAGCAAACACAACCATCCTAGAACAAAGACGATGCCATGAGAATAGCTTCTCTCACAGTCCTATAGCAATTCTAATTGCTATATGCTGCCAGATGCTGCCAGAAGGACAGGGACTTTCATGAACTTGAAAAGTAATCAGGAAAATAAACACAATCCAACTGTTCTGACAATTTTTCTTGATAGCCAGCATTTTGGTCGCCTGATCACCTTGTGGTGCAACACCTTTGAGCATTCAGCAAGACAGCATGGAGAGATGACAAGCCATTAATCCCGTTATTGGACAGAGCTGTGTAAATGGCAGACTGATCATTTGGCTTTGGCAATTCAGATACAGTCGGGAAGGCAGGGGGAAGACAGGCAGCTACATGCGGACAAGAGGCACTAACAGCCTGCCAGAGGGCCTCTCTGAAGTGAAGCAAGAAAAGCAGCACAGCATGACAGAAGCCAGACTTGGGAGCCAAAAGTATTCCCTGTTATTCAGTTTTCACAGACATGCCTGACTAAAGAAAGCCAGGAGCACATGCTCCCATGCTCAAATGGGAGAGGAAAGTGAACTTCACTAGAAACTACACTAGTAGCCCAGCTACAGGGCAAATAGTGAACAGAGGCAGAACCACTCTTTTTAGTCACTTAGTGGGATGAAACCCAGCTTGGCAGTCATCTCATGTTCTGCTGTAAGAAAAAGCTGTGAGGTGGGCAAGGCAGGGAAAAGGCCTTGTGGAACTCGGGCACCAGGAGCAGCCTCTGGCCCAAGCCATAAGTGATGTGCTGAACTTCCAAGTTGTTTCTACTTGTACTGTAATTCTATTAATCCTCTGTATTTCCTTTCTTTAATAGCTGACCTTCTGAAGTAAAACACATCAGGAAAAAAAAAAGTCTTTACTGACTCATGCAGGGAGGAAGGGATGGAGGAGTATTGCTGACTCATTCAAGAGGCACAAACCCACTTGCAATATGGTGCACTATGATGTCTTCGGGGCCTGGGAGAGAACTGTGAAGGACAGTGCTCTTGCAGCTTCCTGCAGCCTCTCGTCTTTGGGCCTCAAAGTATGCCTGCCACTCTGGTTGTGCTGGGAGAGACAAGGAGTGCTCCAGGGAGAGCTGCCCACCATTCCTGACATACTGCCAAGGGGAGCAGTATGTCCTGCTTGGACAACACGAGTGTGGGGCTCGCTTACACAAGAGAATCCAGCTGCAAGGAAAAACCAAGAGGAGAGGTTCCAGGATGAGACCCCTTTCCCCACTATGAGATAAGTTTTAAATAAAACATAATTTCTAAGGCTAAGCTCAGAGAAACAGAATGGGTGTGCTAGAAAATGAGAGTAATTGCACAGAGCGTTCTCTTTGTTTTACAAGCATAAATGCTGTAATTAGTGTTTCCCACATTCTGGTTTCTCTTTTTGACAGATCCCACACTGGCATCATCACACTGTTCTAGCACTGCTGCTTTTCCTTCTCCTTTTTACCCTGCCACTTGCTACAAAATTGACTATGACATTTCCAAAATTCAGCTCAAGGGCTCTCTTGGGGGAACTAAGTGGCAAAAACAAGACTCTGTCACTAGCATGACAGGACGGGAACAAGATCATAGAGGCAAGAACAGGAAGCACAGAAGAAAAACAAGCCAGGGTATGTTATTCCTTTGCAGAAAACAAGAGGGGAAAAGTGACAGAAGACATTAATATTTCAGCCTAGAATTTGTTTTTGCTGTTTGAATTTAGCTCAGATGATAATACAAGACTGGAAGCCGTGCATGCTCTGTGTTGTCACAGAGGCGCACTTAGCAGGAGCTGGCCTGTTCACATACACCTGGACCTTCCTAGCCTTCCCTCCTGCTCTATCTACAGCTGAAAGGAGACTTCACCTCCCAGGCTGGCAAGGAAGCAGGAAGAGGCAGATATACTGGTGGATGCATGTGCCAAAGAGGACAAGCTGGAAGGTTCGGAAACAACCATCAGGCCATTCTTCACAAGAGTAAGGGAGATGCATTTGTTCAGCAACATCTTTCAAACACAAAGGCTCTGGGGGTGTAGATATTTGGTCTCAGATAAAAACCTTAAAAAGCAAAAGCACCACAGCCTCCATTTGGGGCACCAAACTGCCTGTATGAGCCTGATGGGGGTACTCCCTTACCTTTTCAGTATTTCAGTGAAGAGCAGGAGCCCTTGTTTGTGCAACTCCACATTGTTCAGCTGCAGGACATCTTGGAGACTCCTCACCAGAGATTCAATACCTGCACATGTTCAAGAGAAGTCACAGAGAGGGCTTTTAACACCCCAAATTCCAGGATGGAAGAAAAATTAACTTTTAAAAGGAAGGAAGATTTTAACAATTATTCTTCTGAGCCACTGACAAAAAACAACTGCCCCAAACCACTGAGTATTCACTTAGCTCCCTGATAACAGGCCCCAACCTCCTCTGTTAGAGTTAAGTCCAGAAGAACGGAAGGAATTTAGCCTTTCTTCCTAAACCCACTCTTGGCACATCCACAGAAACAGCTAATAGTAACTTAGGTAGTGTCAGTCATGATAACTGGTTATTATAACGAATGTGTGCTCATCAGGAGCTCATTAGGACAGTGACACTGTAAATTCAAGCTATGTTGGTGTCCTGGTTTTGGCTGGGATAGAGTTAATTTTCTTCCTAGTAGCTGGCATAGTGCTGTGCTTTGGATTTAGGATGAAAATAATGTTGATAACACACTGATGGTTTAGTTGTTGCTAAGTAGTGCTTATGCTAGTCAAGGACTTTTCAGCTTCCCATGCTCTGACAGGTGCACAAGAAACTGGGAGGGGGCACAGCCAGAAGAGTTGATCCAAACTGGCCAAAGGGCTATTCCATACCATATGATGTCATGCTCAGTATATAAACTGGTGGGAGTTGGCCAGGGGACACCAATTGCTGCTCAGGAACTGGCTGGGTATTGGTCAGCAGGTGGTGAGCAACTACATTGTGCATCACTTGCTTTCTATATTACTATTATTATTACTACTACTACTACTATTTTACTTTATTTTATCTCAATTATTAAACTGTTCTTATCTCAGCCCACGAGTTTTCTCACTTTTACTCTTCCGCTTCTCTCCCCCATCCCACCAGGGCAGGGGGAGTGAGCGAGCGGCTGTGTGGTGCTTAGTTGCTGACTAGGGTTAAACTACAACATTGCAAACATGTCTGATAGATACTCATTTCCAGTCCTTTATCCATCCTGGCTGGAAATCGTGATTGTGTGTAAAGCGTTGAAATTCAGCTAGAGGCACAACAAATGCCCACAGTATTAATGCAGTCACTCTGTCAGAAAGGTTGATGACTCACCATAGACTGTGTGACACTTTGAGAAGAAAAGGCGCTCTTCAGTTAGGAGGAGCAGGCAGCAATACACTGACCAGATGAGAATTTCACTGTTGCACGAGAGACACTCAAACAGGAATTCTGCGAACACACACACACAAATAAGGTCACCCTGGTAAGAGGCAGTCTGCTCACAGCATGGCACAGCTGCTACTAGAACAGAGCAGAGAAAGGAGGAGGAAATGAGGAAGCATAGCAACAGCCACAGGGAGAACGGTTGTTATTATGAAATGGCAGGAATGGAGAATGGAGTGGATGCTTGGGGGTACGCTAGTCTTCAAAACAAGGTGACTGGAGAGCAGAGTCCCGCAGGCAGGCACCTTCCCAGCACAAACTCAGCAGGCAGGAGCTGAATTGTGGCTCTAGCCTTTGGCACAAATGAAAACCCACAAAGCAACCTTTACCACAGATGCAGTGATCTATTTTTTCCTCAGAACTTTTATATCTCCCAAAGAATTTGTAAAATGAAAGCACTTCTGTCTTTTGGGATTACAGAGAAATAATAAATCATCTCCCACACCCACAGTCTAAAGCTAAATCCTAGACCAAATTCTGTGCAAACTTACAATATTCAGGGGCATAAGATGGAACCCCAGTCTGTTTAGGCTTGTATCTAAGGTCCTGCAAGAAGGGCCTGGACCTCAAGGACTTGTCCAAATGCCTGCTGTGGAAACACCATTCTGCCTCTTGACAGCTGCTTCTATACTTCCAGTTGAAAACTTACTCTCCCCTTCTATTCCTAAAATCACATTAGCCATTGCAGGTCAACCAGGGGACTGGGCCCAGCCAGCATGGGTTCATCAAAGACAGGTCTTGCTTGACCAACCTGATCTCCTTCTATGATGTGGTGACCCGCCTGGTGGATGAAGGAAAGGCTGTGGATGTCATCTACCTGGACTTCACCAAAGCCTGACACGGTCTCCCATAGCATTCTCCTTGGGAAGCTGGCAGGTCATGGCTTGGACAGGCGTACTCTTTGCTCGGTAAAAAAAGTGGCCGAACGCAGAGAGTAGTGGTAAATGGAGTTAAGTCCAGTTGGCAGCCGGTCACGAGCAGTGTTCCCCAGGGCTCAGTTTTGGGGCCAGCCTTGTTTAGTATCTTTATCAACGATCTGGATGAGGGGATTGAGTGCACCCTCAGTAAGTTTGCAGATGACACCAAGTTGGGTGGCAGTGTCAATCTGCTCAAGGGTAGGATGGCCCTGCAGAGGGACCTGGAGAGGCTGGACCGATGGGCCAAGGCCAACTGTATGCGGTTCAACAAGGCCAAGTGCTGGGTCCTGCACTTCGATCAC